TTCTTGTATTAGTTTGTCAGTTCATACTTTTTGTAGATTTTTGTAGACACGTGAATTTTGAAAACATTATTCGCAAATCTACTTTTTCTGTCAGAAAAATCGCAATTCAGTTTTTCCCCCAAACCATTCACCTCTCTAGTACCAACTCACTGCTTGTCTTCCTCACCCCACAAACCACTGACACACCATTTATCAGTTGTATTTTTTTCCCCCTGTGCACTTTCTATCTGTGCCCTCACGTCTGAACCCTGCAGCCTGGCCCGTAGCAATAGAAAGATGAGGTTATGGTGCCTTGGGGGGAGTGTAGTCGCCATAGCGATGGAGGAGGGGCCGGGGTATTCCGTGATCGTTCCATGAGAAGAGGGCTTTAGAAATATCCTCGCGAGTGCACTGAAACCCGAGCGCCTTTGTGAAAACCTGCCCATATCTGAGTAAGATGCACAAAGCAAAGAGGGGAGGGGGGAGAGGAAAAAAAGGAAAGGATCTGTTTGAGGAGAGATAGACGTAGAGTAAAAAAGCGAGGGATAGGTACCATGGAGAGGTGAGAAAAATACACCTTTCTATCACTCTTTAAGGTATTTGCCTAATCCTCAGGAGAGAGGCAGACTTCAGCTTTTAGGGGTTTAAAATGGTTTTCCAGAGCGTGTGACTGTAAGTATTGTACAGAGCGGAGAGAGGGAGAGGAGGTCTGTGGAGAGAGGGAGACGAGCTCTGTGGAGGAGGACAGCGATAAAGGGGGCAAATACAGTTGAGAGTGTGGATTAGACTTTTAGCTGGCTTTGTTTTGAGTCAAGAGGAAATAAATGAATACTTTTAATATAGTAAGATATATTTTTTTACTAAATAGACTTTGTGTGCATTGTCCTGAGGTTGTCCCAGTAATATTATTGCCCCCTGGTGTGTATGTTAATATCCTTTCTGGTTTAAAACTCTTAATTTATCTAATATAAAATGTATATAATAGTAAGGTGGTCAATTGTGCACTTTTTCTAAATTGTATTCCACTGGGGGCTTTAAAGATGCACTATGTAACTTTCCTGGTGGAAGGTATAAAATTTTTGGCATGGAATGGTCCACACTGGTGCATTAAAGCCACCACATGTGACTTTATTTGGCCATGCCAGCTTGTCAAAGCAAGGCCGGGCCTGATTAGAACTTGGATGGGAGACTGCTGGGTAAATCAGGTGTCACAGTGGGGCACCAGTCACAAAAACTGGCATTGTGTCCTCAGGGAAGACACTTGGAGTGTTGGTGGTGGCTGGAGGGGCCGATGGCGCTGATTGGCAGCCTTACCACCACCGGGCATGGAGTGAGTGAATAATACTCTGTAAAGCGTTTTTGTGACATATGTCTGTGAAAAGCATTATATAAATAAAACTAAATTACTTAGTTTAGTTTATTTGACAGCTGTCCCCCCTCCCCTCACCTGGTTTTTGTTCAGGCTCATCTGTGCTCTCTGCTCTTCATCTACCAGACCAAAGCTGGCACACTACCAGACTGTAGTAACATAGACAGCATCTAGTGGTGATATGTGAGAATGCAACATGGCCAGGTCAGCCAGTCTAATTAGTAATTACAGATAGTGCTTCAAATTTAACTCCATGGAGACAAAACAAGCAGTGTTCAGGTCTGTCATGAGGCAATCCCACTCACAGTCATTTTTTATGGTATTTTCTATTTTAAAAAAACACATGTAAACTAAAGAATGTGATATCGTTAAGTATAATGCCATACTGTGGGACATTCAAGGCAAAGCAATAACATCTGCATTGTCAATCAGGTGGAAGACAAGTATTAGTACTAGCTGTGGTGAAAGTAAAAAGACTGACTATTGTTTAAATAATTCTATTTCCAGAAGTACATGAAAACAAATATGGACAATTGCTTCCTCCTCGCGTTTTGGGTCAATGCGGTGCATCCAATAAATCCTTCCATATTTCAGAGCTATTGGTTTGGTGTTAGATTTCTGAATAATAAAGGCTGAGGAGGAAGCAGAAGTGCTGGTATATGCAGGTATCAGTAGTACATGCATATTCCAGTTACATCTGAAAAATGAGAAACGCAGTAACAAAGAAAGCAGTGTGTGTGATGTATTGAGTTGGCACACTGCAGTCAGGTCAGAGGAGGAAGCAGTTTGAATGGATTAACTTTGGCAGAGAACGATCTGTAACGCTTATTGAAGGAAATGGAAAAGGTCAAGAAAAAAGCGCAAAGAGATTTTCTACTTTTACGGTTTTGGTTTTGGAGATATTTGTCTTACTGTCCAAATGTGATTTGACGTGTTAAATGTTTTGAACTTTGATCATGTAAAAAGTGTTCAAGGTATACAGATCCTCTCAGTGAAGGAATCTGTACAAAAATCTTGTATTGAAGTATTTAGCTATTTAAGTTTCTATCTTGAAGCTCTTCTGGCTGAAATATACCAACAATTATGTCATGTATTGAAGTCAAGGCCAGGCTTTATAAAAAAAAAAAAAAAAAAAAAAAAGAAACAAAACATAACTACTTTTATAACTACATACATACTATTATAAAATGGCAAATGCTAATACAAGTGATGGGCTGATTATCAAAATACTGAATTGAAAAAATACTGCAAACAAACAAAAAACTTCTTAAATTATAAAGTAAATCTGGGTATAAATTGCAATGTTTTTCTAACTTGTCTAATACTTAAACCTCACCCAATAAATTTAAAGACATGACATAATATTCCTCATGAAAACATACCTGGAGTTGTGTTTTGTTTCATTCACACATCATTAATACACAAACCCTGCATATTTAGTTCTTCTCTCAAACAGAAAACACTCCATTCCACCTTTTTCCTTTATAAAAAAGTAAAAAAAGTAGCTGTTAACTCGAAAACAAATGGTTTTGCAAAAGGTAAAATGTAGCTGTCAGCTCGAAAACTACAGCTTCATGACATCACAAGGTGGAATAGAGCATTTTTTAGCTTTGGAGATGTAGACATATTAATTATAAAGGCTTAACCCAACATGCGTGAATGAAACAGAAACAAAACACAACTCTAGGTGTTTCGATGAGATAACAACATTATTATAGGACTACAAGCTCACAATAGTCACTAATAGTACTTCCTTTTAATTTGCCCCATGTAGAAAAGATCTGACCTTTTATGCAAACATTACTTTTAATAACCCAGAAAGGACTCCAAAAATATCATAATGTGAGATAGTTACATAATATGGCCGCGTGAAGAGTGTCTTTCACCAAGTTTCTCGAGTCTCACAGAGAAAAGATGGGAGTGATGTCATCTGTGCTCAAGACGCCTGTAAACAGTTTTGGCCTTTCACTGGAAACTCTCCATTTTGCCCTTAGGTCCTTCTCAGTTAACAGCTAACATTACACTGGTATCACACGGTCTTAAGAAGGATCAAATGTCCAGCTAAGACTCCATAATTGCATCCAACTCACTAGAAGCAAACACTTTTTTCAGTTTGCAGAATCATTTAGCATTTTATGTAAAAGATAATGTCCTGTCAATCATTATATCATCTTTGCACTGTTTTTCCTTATGACCTCTTGTATATAACTGTGATATACTGTATTTATATTACTCTATTTATATTTTAGTGTCCAAGTAATTTCCCTTTTGGATCAATAAAGTTTGTCTAAGTCTAAGTCTACGCCCTTTCTATGGAACCATGTATAGTTCATTTATACTGCCTTGGGTGTAGGGCAAAAAAAGTAGACAGCCTTGTAAACTCTTGTGAAAAGGTGGTAACTTACTGTGTAACTTTTTTAGTTGTCGCCACAGAAACAAGCCACAGGCCATGTTACATATAAGTCAACTTTGTGAAGAGGTGAGTCTTCTCAGTAAAAAACAAACAAACAAAAAAACATGTTTATCTTGATCAGGAGTCGCCAACCTTTTTCCTTGGGTGAGATACCTTTACAAAATAAATATTCAAGAGAGCTATTAACTTTCAGCCACACTGGTGCTATTTAGTGCCTCCACTCAATTTAATTTCTCTCTAGCGACTAGGTCAGGAATTGGAATACACTAGATGGTTTGCAAGAACCCCGGAAGTTGTAGACCGCGCATAAGCTAATCAGCGAAGAGCTGTGAAGCCAGGACGTCAAACTCAAGCGCCTGTCTGGGTCCCTTTTGTGGTACAGCACAACAGTAAACAAAGCGGTCGAGATGGATGTAGACGAAGCCAGACATTCTGTGTTGGCAGTGATTCCCAAAATCTAGGATTTAAAGCCGGAACAAACAGAATGCTTGGTGAATTTTATCAAGGGGAAAGACATTATTGCTCTTCTTCCTACGGGATTTGGTGCATTACATACGTCACAACCAAATAGCAGCAAAGTACCTGCCTACCGTCGAGCGAACGAATCCTAATGCTGCGAGGTCAGACGGTTTCCACCAAGTAAAACCGGCTGATGAATCAGGCTAACTAATTTTAGAAAATAAATTCAGAAAATAAAGTATACATAAGAACCAATGGCAAGACATAGATGGGGTACAGTTAGATAAAACATAGAATACAAACCATTATTTATTTATGAGTGCACAAAGGCAGGCATCAAAATGACAGATTTGCAATAATAATAGGCATTTAATTCATCAAATTATAGTTATTCAGGACAATATATGTAATTCAAGAATCCCTTAGCGAGCTACTTGTAAGAGGGTGGAGCGCTACTGGTTGGAGACCCCTGATCTAGATAGATTTAAGCATTATAAACACTTGCAATTGGATAAATGCATGATAAATATGTGTAATGCAAAACCCTACACCTGAAAATTATTTACATAGTGCACCTTTAAATTAGTTCAGACTAGTTTGGAAACACAAACAAACATATTGTGGTAGAAGTAATTTAGGTAGTAGCAGCTGTTGTTGGTATTTTGATATAGCTTCTCAGTGCTAGAAGGACATACACTCTTTTGTTGTCCCTTTATTTTTTTAAGAATTAAAATTTTTACTTTTTTAACTTGCATTTTCACAATTTGCACACACACTCACCCTGGTAGCGCACAGTCTTCCGAGGGATTGGGTTCCAGTTCAGACTCCACGCCTTCTCCCACCCGACCAGAACCACCAGGAGCAAGACCTTCGTCCCGCCCACTGCCCTCATGTCGCCTCCCGTTGGCTGGAAGTGACCTTGACTGATGGATGGAGAGACCAATCAGATGATCCCACTGACTGCAGCTCCTGGCAGCCTGTAAAGAAAAGAAAGAACGCCAACACATAAATTCGAAGGAAAAAAAAAAATCACTTTCTTTTATTGGCTTTCTTGTTTATCTGAAGCCATGAGAGTGAGACGGGGACATTTTTCAAACCAGTCACCACAGCGCTCACAAAACAGCTGCTATAGAAAGATATAATGCTCTACTTTGTGGACATGTTTCATTACATTGAACATTAAAAACCCACAGAAAAGAGCGGAGCGAATGATGGTCTAGATATGTGGCAGTATCAGAGAATGTCTGAAATATTTGAGTACCACAAAAGTTCCCAATAGTAAGTTAGAAAGTTTTAATTTATATAGCGCTTTTCACAGACATCCTGTAAGTCACAAAAACTCTTTACAGATCATTATTCATTCGCTCCATACCCGGTAGATAGAAAATAGAAATGTAGATGTCTGGTAGCAAAATCAATCATGCTAAGACTCATGCATACTTAAAAAAAAAATGATAAAAGTTAATAGAAACTCAAAATATATAATATAAAGCATTCTTCGTACAGATTAAATTTTCAAATTTCAAACCATTATTTAAAAATGCTACATTTTATTGATCCCAAAGGAAATTCAAAGTACAAACAATACCGGTCCAAATGTTTTAGAACACCCTCATTTTTCCAATTATTTATTGCAATTCAAGTCATGCAGGTCCAATGAATATCCTGAAATGGTACAAAGGTAAGTACTGAACAGCCAGAGGCTAAAAAAAAAAGATAAAAAATAACAAAACACAAGTCCAAGCTCTGCCAAAACTACCTCAGGAAAAAAAAACAAGATGCTAAGCTTGAAAATATGGAGTGTCCAGAACAGTGTCCAGACTTAAGCCCCATCGAGCTGGTTTGGGATGAACTGGACAGAAGAGTGAAAGCCAAGCAACTTAAAAGTGCCACAGATTTATGGGAACTTCTACAACAGACTTGCAAAGAACTTTCTGAAGAATATTTTATTTCTTTTGTAAAAACAATACATTTTGGTCAACAATAAAAGTAAAAAACTGTAAACATTTTTACATTTTTTACATACATTTTTAACAGAATTTTCATAGCAATTTTTTATTTGTTTTTTGTTAAAGGTGTGTAACTTCTGGTGGATGGTCCATCATCTGTTAGTTTCTATGGATATGTCATTGTTCTGTCTGGAATCTTCCACAATATGACATAAACAGCTCTACCTTACATTTTTTTTCAATTACAGTGTTTTTATTGCTCAAAAATACCTAGAAAAACAGGCATTCTGACTGTGAGGGGGGGTCGCCTCTCCACAGATCTGACCTGTAACTTGGTCTCGTTTGGTCTCCATGAAAATAGAAAGGTTTAATGCCATGCTGTGAAACATTCCAGAAATAGCAAAAACATCCCCATGGAGAAAAGCATTTGATGGACTCTCCAACAGAAAATGAATATACAATACACCTTTAAGTCTATTCTGGTTTTGTGTTATTGTTAGCACAAGTCAAGTCATGTTTTGGCCTGGTTTAGTCAAAAAATACACTTCTTATTTTGATCTCATGAAGATTTATTACATATAAAAACGAAATTACACTTTTGCAAGGTCACAAAATATTGCTATATGACTGTTATCTCAATCGGTGCATTATTAATATCTCTACCATGCAGCTGCACCCCATAATCTAACTGTTGCCACTCAAAAAAGCTCACTAACTCTTATCTGTAGCCCTCTTGTCAGGCCAATTCAGCAGCACTACATTAAACCGGGCACTAGAGTTATCAAAGTTAATTGGGGCTGGCAACGCATCAGACATCGATGTGTTACGAATGTCACTGCAAGGACAATCCAAGCGCACTGTCGTAAATGAATGGCTGTGTACTTAATGAACATGTAGAGTGTGCACCAATGGAATGGCTTTAGAGCACAATCAGCATGAGGACTGACGGAGCGCTAACAAAGGTGAACGTAGAAAAACTGGTAGCTGGAATTATAATAGATTCTGGTTTGTTTGTGTAAAGTGATTTAAAGGTGAACTGCGTAACTTTTCTGGTGGAGGTTGTATGCGGTGCGCTTGTCTCCGTGGTGATGTTATGGAGTGGCTATAGGATGTTTACAGTATGGAATTAAGCTTCACTCTCCATGCAAGCCAAACTACTTTGAGCGACTACAGGCAATGTTGTGTTTGTTTTTCTTTTTTTCTTTTTTTTTGGTCAGTTTTATCTCCTAACATACAAACTCTCATGTGTAAACAGCCAAATTATGCACTCTGTACCTACGATGTCTTGCAGCCACACATTTATACGGGACATTTCAATGGTCGTTTCTGCTTCATAGGGACATAAAGATCACCCCCTAAAGCAGCACCTTCAAACACCAAACGTTACAGTCTTGTACATAACAAGATTTTGACGAAACATACAGAAGGATATTTTGACATCTAATTCCTAAATCTGATTTACTGGAAAAAAAAAGAAAAGAAAAAAAAAAGTAGAGTAGATTTTAAAAGATGCAGCAGTAGCAATTTTACAATGAGATTTAGTTTTCTCACACACTAAATAAGATATCCAAAATGCTCTCTGTATATTTTTTAGTATCTAATATGACAACAAAATGAAGCAAGGCTCTCTTCATGTTTCTGAGCAGTAAACCTCTCTAACATTTAATGCTATACTGTGGAAAATTCAAAACAAGGCAACATCATCTCCATGGACAAGTGTCAGCCCCAACACCAGAGAAGTTACAATGAAGAGAACTGGTGTTTTAAAAAAGCCATACTGCTGTATTTTGAATTTTATGTGGTCTTCTGAAAAGTTACACAGTACATCTTTAACAGGGTACGCATAGATGCTAACAATGTAATAAAATATAATTACATTTCTTTTTAATCAACTTGGAACGGCCAATCAATAGACTATAAAGTTTGTAAAATTGGGAAAACAAAAGGGCCAGAGGAGAATTACCAAACAGGGCCATAAAGCTGTGTTCCTCAATCAGACTGCTTTATTGGTTGATTGTGGTTCTCTGCTGTTGTTAATGCTGCAGTAAAAGCTGAGATGCATTGCTAGCCCTAAAGTGGTGAGTAAAAAAAGAGCTAAAACATTCTTAATTGCTCAAGAGGGCACAACAATCTCAAATAATACAACTAGGTCATATTTCATATCATCATATATTTCTAATTATCCAAACTAATTCTAATTAACATAATATTATTCTTCAACGTGTTAGTGTCAAATTTTTCATCAGGAAGAGCATCTGATTTAAAACCCAAACCTCAATATGTAACGACTGAACGTAAGGATAAGATAGAAAAGAAAATGCAGATCTATAGCATAAACACGCCACAAGTTTGATATGTTTTCACACAAACAAAAACAAGTCATCAAATTTGGAACATTACCTGCAAATTGAAAGTTAAAATCATACTTCAGAACATTGTCCATGGAGACTGCTAAGTTTTATATGAAAGATCATAGCAAAAGGACCACAGTTTCCATGGAAACAAGCAAGACAAGGCACTCCTCCACTTCAAAAAAGTGTCAGGTTTGTGGAGATGCAAGCGCACAGTAAGGATGCAACGTTTTTCAGTGCAGTTAGTTTAGTCAATTCTATAGCAAAAAAGTTACATACTGCAGTTTTAAGTGTTATAATTATTGCATTTGTAACAAAAGAATTAAAACAAACGTATTGCTCTCAATGAGGCTATAAAAACACACTTTGAATCCGTAGATTTAATTACTTTTTTTTTTCTGTAAACCATTCTTCAAACCTCCCAATACTTTTTCACACCACTTTGTTTGCAGCTTTTGAAGATAATCAACAAAGCAAGCTGCAAGCCATTTCACTGTCTGTAGTTCCGTTCATTCGATTATCCCAGCTATTTGTTCACAAAGATTGAGCTTAAAATGTGACTTGAATCGCATTGCAAAAAAAGAAGATTTATATCGTATAAATTAACTGTTGGCATTCCTCTTACGTATTGTGTATAGATGTTCATATAGACATGTCTTGGGAACTGTGGGGTGTTTTCAATGATAAATCCACCATCTGGCCATAGTCCCTTTGCTCTCTCCACTATGCTGAAATGTTGCCTTTGATGATACAAGAAAAACCCATTGACTTTTAAATAGGCTCAAAATGTCATCGCATATTTACTACGAGCTCCCGCAGAATATACCGATACTGAAAGCGGAGGAGTTTTAGAGAGGTGTGAAAAATGCCCAGCTTTAATAAATACCACATTTTATATTTACTTTTGTTGTGAAAATTTCAGAAAAGGTCAATGCGAGCAATGGAGAAAATAATTGAATTTGTAGTGAATCAGAAAAAGATTTTGTGTTTTTATTTTTGTGTAGCCCTTTTCAGATCCTAAGAGTTGCTTTACAATTTCGTACATTATTCATTCACCGTAGTTGCTTCTGTAGCTTACTTTACTCAGGGAAGGCAGGCTGCCAGTCTGCACCATCAATTCATCCAGTACACTATTGTTTCTAAAAGACTCGACAAAGAGTCGTGACCCTCAGGTGGGTCGCAAGAGATTTTTTTTGGGTCGCCTTGTCACGACCTGCATGTAGGTCTGTGATATACAGTTATCAACATGAGAAAATGACCAGAATGCTTTGCTGACTAAGCATTTGGTCAGAATATCCTCAGTAGGGCCAGTATTTTTATGCTTATTCCTTTCACTATTACATATTTGTGTGAACTGGGATTTTGTGTGCTCACAAAAATGAAAACAAAGCACAAAAACAGACTGAATGCTGCTCCTGATCTGCTGCTGCGTCTCCTCCTGCACCTGGACTGAAACGCTACAAAAACACAGACACACTCACCTATCTCATTAGAAATATTGAAATGTTAAGACATGTTTTGTATAATTTCTAATCTTTTTGTAATTATTTTATTTTCTATTTTGTTCCAAAATTGCTGGTTCAATTGAACGCTGAAAAGAAAAATAAATGTGCTACATTTAATGTCCAAATGGATCCTTTTATTGCTCGTTCAGTTACTGTTTTTCATTGCTTAAAA